TATTCAGTTGTCCGGAAAGTTCGTGCCGACTAATCTATATAATTTAATAAATGTATACTAAAATTTAAATCTTCTGCGTTTGAATTTTTCTTCAAAATCGGCACGAACTTTCCGGACAATAATTGTCAAGTGGAAAAAAATTTAAGTTTCTTTAGCATATTATGAAAATTGCATTTATAGAAAAGATTTCTTCTCAAATATGGTATTATTCGATGTACCATGAAATAAAATCAATATAGAAATAATATTTATTATTAAAAGAAATATTTTATTCTTATATTAGGTGTAGTAAAAAAATCCATTATTTTTCCATTCAATTTCATGCAAAAATAATAGATTTCTTTTTACTACACCTAATATATATAAGGCCAATGTCCACGATGCTAGAAATCGATTCGAGACCTCGGAAGAAATAATTGACCAATTGCTCATCGTCGCTTGTCATGTGACTAAATTGTTCAAATGTGATTTGTTAATTTTTTCTCTGTTTGAGATTTTAGATCGATTTCTAGCATTGTGGATGTTGGATTTAAAACAGAAAATTCTTAAATCTAAAAATGATCATGGATATCAGTGCCAAATACTGGCACCAGCATTACGCATAACATTAAGTAAAGATTTATTTTAAATGTAAGAATATAGCGATTCCAAAAAGCCCATTTTGTGACCATCGAATTTCGAATCAAACTGTATGCCAAATGATGCTATTTGATTCAATATTCAAGCATTAATGCAAAAAGAAAGTTCATAATTCCTTAATATATAATAATAAAATTTTGATTAGAATTAGTCAGAATGGTTTTCTAATCCACTCCTATTGATTAATTTTTTTAAAGGGCTAAAACTATTCCTAAAGAAATTTTTTCTGAATTTCTTAAAAACGAATGCAGATAAGAAAAAAATGTTTAAGATAAAATTTGTTTGTCTTAAAATTCTGCATAAAAAGGTTTTCAAAACATATTTCTTCTTATCTACCGTAAATAATATTATAAAAATATATATATAGGCTAAAAATGTATGTTTTTGGGGTCACTCTTTAACTTTATATTGTTACTTTCATTTAAAGATATTAAAATTAAATAAATCAACTTTACTTAATTCGAGGAAAAAAAATAGAAATTATCGATTTAGGGACTTATTCTAACTCTTAATGATTGTAACTGTAGCAACGTCATTGCGCAGGTTTTATACATAATAAAAAAATTGCACAACACTGTAACGTTGAATTACAATCGTTAAGAGAATATACAATCGTTAACAGAATAGTTTAATTTTGTTGGACTATAAAAATAATTATGTTTGAGAACGTTTGAGCATGATAAATGCAAAAGTTTCAACATTCTAGCAACCAGTTTGACACAATTATTTTGATGATCCAACAAAATTAGTTTGACATCTATATGACAGCTAAATTTGTAAATACAAAACCGTTCTTTTCCCATGCAAAAAAAGAATTGCTAACTGTTAGTGTACAACATTTCGTACATTTG